TATGTGATCCTTTGTGCTAACTCTTTTATCAAGATTGTCACATTATAACACTTCCACAGCTGTTAGGACGAGCATGTTCATTAATGGGGATTTGAACCCATGACCCTCAGGTTGCAAGTCAAGGACCCTAACCACCAGGCCCTTATTTAATGATTTAAGTTAAAAATATAATCTATTTCTCATCAAGTGAATGAAAATATAAATAGCTACTTGAATCAAACATCCAATACAAATCATCTTAGTTAGCAGCATTTTATCATCTTAAATATTGTTGTAATTTATTTCTTTATAGTCTCTCCCCATAGTGCTGTTTTATAGCTAAATGAACTGACTTTATTTTAAATCTTAAAGTAACTCACAGAGTTTTTTTAGTTCACAATATTTTATGACATGTAGAGGGAAAACTTTAAAATACAACCAACAAATATGTACTATCAGAAACTGAAAAAGATCAAAAACATATTATATTCAGGTTTATATACTTAAATATCTAGATGTATGTATGTCCATACCTACATGGGGAGACCTGTGACTGCCTTAAACTAATAAGTCATCAACTACATGTGTGGCCTTTACTATTGTGTCAAATGACTATGTGGGTCTTGAGGTGCAAAAGGTTGACAAACGTTGGTCTACATTTTTATAACATTCTCATGTTTTTTATTTGAAATGAAGTAAATTCAAGTAAAGATTAAGTTAAGACAAAGCTATGATAGGTCTTCCTGTTTTTTCAGAGCCTAAAAAAGAGACTGGGGTAAAACCTTGGAAAGGCATGATAAAAAACCGCTTCTACTTCTCTTTATAGAAGAAGATCTAATACTTCCTAATCGAGAAATTGTAAGCAGTAAGGATTGGAAGGAGGAAGACAAAGGATCCACAAAAGCTTAGAATCTTGAAGCCAAGTCCCACAAGTAAACAATTGATTCGAGAAGTCCCCTTAAAAGTGTCACCTAGACAAAGAGTCAATGAATGGGTCAAAAAGACCTACCTTGCTTAAGGTAAAATTTGGTGTAGCCAATATCAACAGAGAAGATGATGAAGGTAAGGCAGGGGAATGAACATTATATGCTGGTCAACTTGAAGAGGGGGTGGGGGTGACCAGAAGCAAAAAATAGATGCAATAATCCTAATCAACTCCTACTGGCATTCTCATACTGAATTAAGAAGCAGTCTAGGTGAAATACCTGCAAAGACAAAATCATGCAGGAAAAAAAAAGTGCTCTTTCAAGGTTAGCTGACATGATGAGGGAGAGAAAAGTACCTTGCATGACAAGTTCAAGTGTCAAAGAATTGTAAAATCCACATGGTAATAGATACTTGGTCCTGACTAAAAAAAGATGAGAATGAGTACAGCTAATAACTAAGACATGTGCAGAAGAAGAAAAAAGTCTCAAAACAAAACAAATCATACCCTGTAGAGCAGAAAACTGACAATGAGTCAAAGTAAAAGACTATGTGGAAGCCCCTCCCTTTCTAATAACCAATCTAAAGGGCCAGAACTTAAATATTATGAGTAGTGAAATATGAAGTCTACTAATACAATGCTAGTTTTCTAGTTCTAAGAGCATCAGTAGCAACCCAAACATTAGGAGAAGATGGATGAAATAATCCTCTAACAGACACTAGCATCACTAAGTATAACAGAAATTGGTTCAAGATTTAAAATAGAACATATACCGAAGAGAGAAAAGAAACGAGATCAACAGAAGCTTCTTCAGGATCTATCAGATCATTCTGTTTATCAGACATTGAATGAAAAGTGGCCTAAGAAAAAAGGTCAATCCTGTTCAAATTAATGAGAAAATAGTGGGTGTTACATAAATTGACATTAAACAAGATTGTGAAACCCACCAGGTAAGTCAGCATACAATTCGGCCATAATGACACAAACCTGTTAACCAATAAGAATTGACAATGCAGCCATGTGCCTACCACGTTTGCTAGAGGTTAACCGAGTAAGGCCTCTAAAAAGTTGTAAAAGTTCCAATATTATTGGAAATATTTGTAGCAGAACTAAGTTTGACTTTTGAATTAATTGTAGCAAAGTCAGCAGCATGAATGTCGACAATAAAATATGAATTATAGTAGGAAAGCAGAGCTTATATAAATCTTCTTACACAAGCACAGCAAGTCGTATGGAAGATGGGAAAATTCAGAATTATGTAAGTTGACATGTATTCTGCACTGTGTCAGAAACATTCAGAATTTTAGTCACGTTTGTTGAAAGCAATAAATTCTACAGTATTACGTACCAAGCATTTCAAATTCTGAAATTAATTTATAAAGCTATTTTTAGTTTTTTATAGTTTTTGTAGGTTAAGAAATAAATAATTTTTTAACAGTGCTAATTTCTATGAAAGAATGAATAGAAATTTCGAAATCTCACCTTGTCCTTGTAAAAACCAGAAGGCAATATAAATTAGAACAAAGTCCCATCGGTAGGAAATGGTTGTCTCACCTGGTTGTAATGACAAACTGTTCACTGTTAAAAGAAAAGTTTAAACTAAATTAGAATAGTTTTGAAACTCCAAGAACCACAACAATAAAATGACCCATATGTCTGAAAAGAAACAGAATATAAACGAATAATGGTCATCATCAAAAAGCAACTATTTACAAAAAAAAGTTGTTAAAACGAAAAAAACAAAAACAAAGTTAAACACTGGCAATCGTTTTCGATCCAATCTAAAATGGAGTTGTATAGTTAAAACAATTAAATCATATTAGCAAGTCTGGGATGAAATTAAATTAAAGGAAATATTCTAAATTATACAACTGATACTGGTTTAATACTTAAAATATAGTCATGGAGCAACAACTTCATAAGTTTAATACTAATATAAAACATATGTAATGTTTTTGTTAATTTGTCATAAAATATAACATTTTAATAGATTTCTAACAGAAAAAAAAACAACAAAAACCTTGTCCAAATTTAACTTTTTTTTCCTTCCACAAAATAAGTTATGATTTTTGTAGTTATGAGTGAAATTTGTAGTTTAAGACATTCGCATCAAATAAACTTGCATATAGTTTCTCAATAAATTAATACACATTGTTGACAAGTTTCAGTGGCAGATCCATGATTTTTGCCAGGCAGAGGTTCAAAATTTTTAAAAATCTTTATGGTGAATTCTTACATTCGCAACTAAAATATGGCCTAAATATGCATTGTTTCACACTGCAAAAATAACTTCTTAAGAAACTCAATAAACCTATATTTGAATAAGTCAAATAAAGAACAACTTACGGAATTTCTTATGAAAATAAATTATGACCCAACTAATCTCTCTATTTGAAAAATGTCCAACATTATCTTCAGTACTTCTTTATGCTCACCTCCAATTAAAAAAGAAGCTGAATTTATTAAAAAGTATGGATAAAAAAATTTTGAACTATAGGTTCAGATTGGACAGATTAATCATTCTTAAATAATTGTAGAGGGTGTTATTTGATATGGAGTGTTATACTAATTTCAATACTAGAAAGGTCCAGAATGGAATAAACATTTAAGCAAATATCTTTCCACACATTATAAGTACTAGAAAATTTTCAAGATATCTTATTGGGCTTGATTATTTCAAGTTCTGATGACATTTTATCCTCTATTAAGGGTCCAACAAACTCCCATCTGAATCATCATCCTTGTTTCACTAGATTGCTTAAAGAAAGTGTGGAGGGGTGTACTTTAGACATAATAGTCTTGTGATGGATCTTTTGCAATGGAAACTATGCTGCAGAGCTATTGTCTACATGCATGACCAGGTGTGGTGACAAGGGTTGTAACAATGTAATGGTACTCCAGTCATTTTAACATAACAAACTTAACCTTTGAAGTAAAATGGAATACTAGATATAATTCTCACAAAACCCTTGTAAGTATTTTTTATAACTTAACATAAACATGCTATGATGCTATATTGACTATAAATATTTTCAAAAGCATTATATGATAAAAGTGAACAAACTGGTAAAAAATCTATCTAAAAGTTTTAACTCTTGGTAGTAACAAGCTTGTAATCACAAACTTTAAAGTTAATAAGTTATAAGTGTTTCAAGTAAAGTTTGTTAAATTCATCCAATGGACAGAACATTGTTTCATAGTTAGAGGAAATGTCGTGTTCACTGATAGAACAGAAGTAAGCAAAAGAGGTAGTTATACATATATATTATTTTATATATATATACATACATACACATATGCATAAGCTATTCATTTTAGTTATTTGACATAGAAAGACGTCGCTAGGCACTGACAAATGGAGCCCATGCCCCAATTCCCCAGATGGTGTCTTGAAAGATCAGAATAGAAAACCATGATCAATATCACACTGAAATGACAAAAATACCCTCTCCTATTGGCCCGCACCCCAAATCTTTTAAGAACCTAGCAACACCTCTGTTGACATACATACATGTGAAAGATAATTGAGTGATTACTGTAACTGTTTCAAAACACAGAAATATTAATTTAATATTGAATAGTACAACTGCAACAATGAAAAAAAAAACAAGTTTGTTGGAGAGATGTTTTAGAATATTCTCATTCCTTCATTTTTCAGCAAGTTTCTACATAAATATAAGTAATGCAAAATAACACATAAAAGCTGAAATGGAATTATCTATACAATTATAAACATTTATAACAAGGAAAATAGAGTGGGAATTAAAACTAAAACAGTATATATATATAAAATGTACGTATAAAATAAAGTAAGATATACAAAAACATAGCCACACAATATTAAAAAAAATTTAACAGAGGAGTTGTTATTTAAATCAGAGATTATGTTTAATCACAAGACCGTCTTTTAATAGAAGTTCAAGTCCACATAGCCTGAAGATGGAACTTGAAAGTTTGATATTTGGAGGTATTGTAAAATTCTGTTGATTATATATTCACATCTTACATACTTTTATTTACATGCTACTCATACAGTTGTATTTAAGTTACATTTAAGTGTATTTTTGAATATTTTACTAATGATTTCATTTACAATGCTAAATATTCATTTTATGTATCTGAGGTCACCAATTATAATAATTTATGCATAAGACAGATAGAGAAAAAAGTATATGTAAATTGCACTAGAACTAAAATTAAAATGTTAAACAATTTAAGTTAAACTAAGGTATAAAATGTGGAGTTAAAATATAATATTCATTTTAGTATACAAGCAATAAAACTAAGTAAGAGTCCATATCTTCATTTATAGGAGTTTTACTTTCAAATTCTTTATCTTTTTCTGTGAAGTTAGGGTTATTATCAGTCATGCAAACCTCATATAATTGTCACTAAGTGCATGCTAAAAATGTGTGATTTTAATTCAAGTCTAATTAGCTATTTATCTAATTAAAAGAATTACAACATTAAAATAATTGCACAATAAATATTTATTAAAAACAGGTTTCAGCCCTAAAGAGACTACATATTTCAGTGTTCTACATCACCATCCTCAGAACACCAAAACCTTTAGCCTTTTTTTAGGGCTGGGCCCTGTTTTTAATAAATTATTTATTGTGTATTTATTTTAATATTTTACTCCTTTTGATTGTATACACATGAACAAGTACCATTATCATTTTTTTATTTTTCTATTTATTTTTAAGTGAAGTAAAGTTTTATATTTCTATTCCATGGTTAAATAATTCTTACATGTTTCAGGATATATTAAGGTAGATAAGAGAGGAAACTTAATTTTTGGCCATTAGAGATGAAATAATATTGTAAAAATTAATTTTCAGTGTAAAACAGTACAACCTATTTAGAATTTAAATCACATTTAATCAGAAATGAAATCAAGTGGCATTAATCAATAATATTGCTGCTCATAAGCAATCAATTAAATCTCTCAGCTCTATTCTGTGATAACTTACAAAGAGAATGATTTATTTCTTAACATACCTATTTTTTTGTTGAATATGGGGACATAAACGTTACTTATACGTCCCAGAACCAACAATGTAAAGCACATAATGACTCTTATTTGTAGCCTGAAGCTCTTTTTAGGCCAGATGAAAGGAGCTAGCTTTCGAGACTTTTGCCAAAGATTGGAAAAAGTTGATCTCTGTTGTGATGACTGAGTTAAACCCTCTTCTAATAAAGGCTAAAAATAATAATAATAAATAATAAAAATGTTATTAACTACAATCCTAACAAAATAATGAAGTAAGAATGGGTGAGCAGTGAAATATATACCTATTATGATAACCACAATATTGGCATTTCAAACTACATCATCTTATGTTATGATCAGTCACTCAGGGTATAATTAAAAATGTACATATTCCATACAGTTTATGCTGAGCATACAACAGTTTATTTGATTAATAACTACAGTAATATCTGAACCAACACAATAATACACTAAATGCTCCCACAGTCAGGGTAGTACATAAGAGCATTACACCGAGAAAGGTTTAAATGTGAACAATTCTGGTAAAGATTGCATTACAACCACCTCCAAACAAGTGTGTATCTCAAAAACTCCACTAAATTTACAATGCTCCATTTTTAATGTAATGCATACCCATGCTTCCATAAAAAAAAACAAGTATTAATGGGTACAACATACACTTCAAGCCAGGAATCATATAAAAAACAAATGAGAAAAAGGTAAATGCACCATTACATTACATAGGTAGAAACGTAAGAAAGATGATAAATTTTGTAAAACTAGTATTTTCAAATAAATAAATTTAGAAAGATTAATGACTTTCTAATGCAGATAAAAAATACTTTTATTAACAATAAAAGTGTGGTACTTTTAACTAACCCGAACTCACCAAAAACAAAATATATATATATATATACAGATTCTATGATTACAGATATGAATTCACAAACAGCAAAGTTTGAAAAAAATTGTTTAAATATTTTCATCACATATTCTATCATAAAATGAATGTATCACATACCTCACTCTGCTCCTGATTAAGATGTATCCTGTTGTAAAGATAGTAATCTTGAGATGTTGGAATTCCAGGAGCTTTTAAGCCAAGGACAAAAACCAGCATACAGCATATATAACGCAACACAAAAAGGCTGAATTCAAATTTATCTGAAATACTGCAAAGGTGAAAAAAAAAGGAATTTTAATTATCGCAATAAGCTCAGAAACAGAAGAATTATTTCACCATAAGAAGTTACATTTAAGAAGATTAAAGACAAAGACGGTTGTGAAACTATGTAATTGTTCAATCTCATTAAAAATGAAAAAAGGAGGATTTGGGGAAACACGAAAATACCTGAATATGGATATAGCCATAAACAAAATATACTGAAGGAAGAAACCAAAAGGTTAGGTTTCTGACATATAACTATTAAAAGCAAGTGTAATTCAGCTATTAATTGTTACAGAATGATAAAATCCTATAACCTGAGTGCTTCCAACAGCATCCAGGTTGTTGAAATTCAATAAAACACCATCCACTTTTCTAATAGCCTGTGTTAAAAAATGTTTTGGAATGTTGCAAAGTAGAACCATTATATTTATTTCTTAACACACCTTCTATGATTTCTTGTCAAAACCTCCTTACTCTAAGTTCTTACTTTCATTAATTGTTACTATAAAATATTAATGCAGTAGAAAAATTATCACCTACTCACCTGCTTAAATCAAACCACCAGTCTTCATTCTTTAAATTCAGAAATGCCAAGTTTTCAATGATAAAATTCAATGTCCAAAAAGTGAGCAATACCCAGCCATGACCCCATGTTGGAATGCTTGGTAAAGCCCTCCGTCTCTCAAGAAAAATGAGTAGAACAGACGTGGGCCACATAACACTCATTAGAATGAATGCTAATACCATGTGACCATAAATTTGCTTGTCTCCTACAACTGTGGCTTGAAGTCCAAAATGTACAATGTTCAAAAGTGGGATGAAAAATGACAAAAAAATTTGTAATTTTAGCAGATTAGATTTTGGAAGGAGTCTGTCATCTAAAGGGGTAGAATATTTTTTGTAAATGAAATACTGGACAGTCCCAGCAATGCTGATAAAGAGGAACAATCCAGAGTTACCAAATGTGTCCACAAAACAATGTGACAGTCCATGGTTCACCCAAACCTCTGTCAGAGTGATATTTTGGGGACAAAAATGCATTTTCAAGAAATGGAGTTGTCAAAAAATGGTATTTCTGTAGCCAGAAATAATCAGTTGTAACATCAAGACAACATCTGTAAATAAAGAAAATAAAGTTCTCTAATAAAAAAGCAAACACATTTATGATGCATATTGATATATATTAACAAAGGTATATAAATCCATTTAACTAAAAATTTAACAGTTTTCACATAAATCAGAAACTGTTACTAAAACTCACTAAAACTACAGTTGTTACTAACTGAAAATTTGTATTACAATATTGTAAAAAATAAACATGCTCATCCCATTATATTTTTTGTCTGTTACTATAACGATCTTTTTTTACATATTAATAATGCTTGTAATTTCTTTATCAAAAATTGACCTATATTTTATTTAAGATTGCTTGCAAAATTAAGTGCACCAGTGTGCAAATGATCCTTAAGTTTTTTGTAATGGCATGATGGTCAAAACTTGCAAAAATAATTACTAATTTTTTTTAATAAGACAATTAGCATTGGTCAGAACTAATGCTGCACATAAAGTTTTATAATTTCATCAAGTGTATTAAGAGTATCTTATTTCAAAAATGGTATATCATATTTTTGTAGATGATTATGAATTAAACAAAAACACTTCACTCTGTATCACTACATAATACATAAATATATTTTTAGAGCTTTTCATATAAATGCATCAATGCAAAACAAGGTAAAAAATAATTAAAAATTGCATTTAAAAATAACAAAATATTTGAAAATTTAAGTAATTAAAAGAAGCACACATTTTAGAAAGTTGAGACACAAAGAAGAATGAAAGGAAAAAATTATGTTTTAAGATATTCAATACAGCAAATAGAGTAACAGAAAAAATTTATTACAAAACAAGAAACTCAAGTTTTTTAATTATTTGCTAAAGGTTATAATCAATGCTTTTATTATGAAATTTACCCAAACTTTTGTGTTAATAATTATTTTTGTATTAACTATTCTTCTTTGTAATTGTATACACCTGTATTTCAATTAACTTTAGTCCAACTTTCAATTCAAAATTAGTTTCAAAAGTTTTGATTATAAATTGCTTTAAACCAGCTTGGCTGTTCCATGATTGTTATAATATACTTAGTTTCCTGCAATGGCATGTTTTGATTCTCACTGTCATTACTGTTGTATTTTGGGGACAACAGTTTACTAATTTCCTAGGTTTTTGTACTGCTATACGAGTCTCCTTTGCAATGCACATTACCAATTTCTGTTATGAATATGTTTAGTTTCATACAGGAATGATGCAGAGGGTCTACATTAATAACTGGCCAAACAACTCACTCGTTTAAATTTTTTTTTTTTAGAATGGCTCATTGTTTTTTTTTCAAGTACAAACTTTTAGCTCATAGCTCCATCATCTCTTGACAAATTTGAAATCTAATTACAGGGTCTCATAGATTAATTTACTTTAATCCTGCCTAAAATAATTTCTATTTGAGGGCAGGCTGGTAGAGATCCTGATGAGTAATAAAATTTAAATGGGTATATGTGTGTGTCCCATGCTTGGTATTGCTGGGGCACATAAATATAGCTAATAAAAAGGAAAAGAGGTCTCATATATTAATTTGCTCTAATCCTGCCTAAAAGAATTTCAAATGCCATGGTTATCGTTTTTGGTCGAAGTAATCACTGAAACAGGATATTTTGGTTACTTTGGTTTATTTAGCAAGAACAAAGTTAATGACAAAAGACCATAAAATATTAACAACTGTAACAGCAAGTAATCTGTAGAAAAAAAAAAAAACAGATAAATGAGAGGAAACAGAAGCCTGAACACTAAGTTGCTTTTAGTTAAAAGGTGCCAAAAATAAAATCCTCCTCAAAGAAAACTTAAATCAAAACAACATTTAATGACAAGATGGAGCCTGTTGGTCCACCAAGGATGTTAAACTAAAAAAACTCAAAACCAGCACTCATAATTCAAATATCTACTAAGCCTTCCCATACATTTACTGCATTCAACACATCTGAATTTCATTTCAAAGCCAAACCATCTTGAAAGAAAAGTTAAAATGACTCCTTGTCCAACACTGCCAAATTTTATATCTATGTTCCTTATCCTAAACTCTCTTCATATTTTATACACCTCTAAATTCTCCATCACGAGAATGAATTTAAACTTCATGATTTATAATGATTTTCTTTAATTTTATTCCTGCTGAAAAGAGCATAAAATACACTCACATGCTATATACACAAACAAGTAAACAAAAAGACAAAACACTGGCCAACCATGGAGAATGAAGCAAAAGCTTACGAAAAAGGTTAAAAGCTCCAAGAAATAATGCAAGGATCCTCGCATTACAAAAGAAACTAATACAAATTAATAAAAAGTCAAACAACCACAATTATACAACAGAAAAAGTAAAATAGATTACTAACATTAGAAAGAGCAAAATTAGGATCACTCAACAAATTAGTCACCCCTCACCCACCAAACCACCACCATAAACCCAAAAAATTTGATACTTCTCCGTTATACACCCGAAACTGTTACTGTTAAGCCTAACATTTAAGAAACAATTATATTAGATTCTTTGTTTGTTTGTCTTCACACTAAAGTAAATTGTAAAACAGGTAAAAAGATTGTTTTATTAAAAATATAAACTAAAAACTAGTTTATTGTCTCATCTTTTAAGGATTAACTAAGTTTACTTGAACTTAGATCCATTTGTTTAAGTTTAAATTGAGCATATAGGCTAAATACATTGTATTATTAACATTACATATACATCAAAGACTAGTTATTGTGACTTCTAATAAAGTTATATATAATTAAAGATAAACTTTAAGTAACAGTTATGGAGGTATAACAGAAAAGTACCAAAAATTTACATAAGGTTGTTTTCTAAATCCTATTTTGAGCTTTTCATATTGAAAGTAGATGTATTACAAAACAGTAGTTAAATGTTCCAACAAATTATTGGGTATCTATCTTCAAAATTTTAAGATAAGTCTGTCTTTTCAGGAATGGAAAATTTCTATCTAAAGTTTTCCAATATTTTCTAAAATTGATATTTCTTCAACCAATTAGAATTTAAGGAAAATTTATCCTTTGAATTAGACTTTATTCAATTCAGATGCCTTGCCTTTCAAGTAAAAACAACAGTAACAAAACTTCTTTAGTAGTACATGTTCATTTTTCTCCATAATGAGGTTCTCTGCTAAAATCTATTAGAAGAATAATGTTACCTTCTTTTTTTGCATTTAACTTAATTATAAATATCTTTCAAGTCAAAAATTATGTTTTTAGGTAAGACATTTTCATAATGCATCTTTACTTCAGTTTGTAAGCCTCAAAATTTTTATTCAATGTCTTGTAATAGTAACATATTTTTAGTTACTAGTAGTAATAATCTGATTCTTTTATTCATCTATTGACAAATAGACTATGACTTTGGAAGGAACACATGTACATTTATAGTTAGCATGATTAGTCAAACTTAAAAAACAGTCCATGTTTTATTAAGATTTTACCTGTATCTTGCAAGTTGCAGGTTTCGGAAAGTTCTCTAAAACTGATATTTCATTACTATTTTTAACTCTACAACTTATTATCCACTGAAAAAGACAACAGGCTACATCAAATTTATGTAGGTTTTCAAATCTTTTGCGTTTTAAACTTAATTCTATCTGGTGTGAAAGTACAAAAAGTTGTTAATGTTATTAACCCTTACTTTCTAAACTTGTCCTTTTTAAACAAAGAATAGTAAATTAAAAAGGAAGCCACATACATATCTTACACTTACAGTCTGCCATACCAAAAATCTGACTGTACATTGGTGGTACTACTTTTGACTAATCAACATAATAATATAGAGTACAAATCGGTGTCCAAAAGACATAAAAAAAAAAGGGCCGTTTGGTGAAGCAAAAAAAAAAGTACTGAAACACGTATATTTCACAAGTTCGAAGGGAAAGACTTTATTCAACTCCGTAAATCTGGTAGTGGTAACTTTCTCATTAAGTTTTTTACTTACAAGTTAAAGTTTAACTTAAACTAAACTTAATATCGAACTGAACCAATTTTTGACCACATCTGGAACAATGAAGAGATATTAATATAACTACATATATCCAATATACACTTTTAACGTATTAAATAAAATTAAATTTATTACAAACATGTTATTAGTATTTATATTAACTACCTATAACTTTGTTATTGTGTTATTGCTCTTCGGTCACGCTGTTCATCATAGCAAATAAAAGAAAATAACAGCGCCACCTTACGCACACAGATATACTTATATATAGAGCTTTTTTTTTGTTTGTTTGTTTTTTAAGTTAAGCACAAAGCTACACAATGTGCTATCTGTGCGCTGCCCACCACGGGTATCGAAACCCGAATTCTAGCGTTGTAAGTCCGCAGACATACCGCTGTGCTACTGGGGGGCAATTATATATAGAGAGTAGAAACTATTGTGCTAAGAAAGTGATATATTTTGTTGTTGTTGTTGTTGTTGAATCAAACCTTTAACTTTTCTTTGAAATTAAACAAAAATATTTTTATAATGTCTTTAACTCTACATATTTGAAAAGAGATATATTTTATAGGTACAGTCAGTTAGTATTTTGATTTTATCTCTCTGTCAGAAAACTGTTTTAGTTTGTATATATATAGTAAGTAAATATATGGGTGTGTTGGGCTAAGGATTCTTCTACAGCAGATGTCTGTAACTTGTTGGCGATAAATTAAAAAAAAACCCACAGCACGCACTCTACTTGTTTTCAAAATAATATATATGTTCGGAACAATTTAAGTGTATGTACAAAATTCCTTACACTATGGAGGTCTTAGTTATATATTAAACACTATATAGTCCTCTTTTTGTTGTCAAAAGTCCACTTAGGCCTACTCAATTGCTTTAGAATTCAGTTGAAAAGCCGAACTATTTTTCTCTGTTTCTGTCGCCAGACTATCTGTGTAAGTTGTTGTTGAGCTACTGCTGTTATATCCTGTACTTCGCATTTCCAAGAATCGTCTGCCTTTTGTCAAAATCCACTCAGTCTGGTTCAGTTACTTTAGAACACCCTTTGACAAAACAACTTATTCTTGTATCTCTTACAAAATTGTCAATCTCACTCTAACATATCAACCATTAGGCCTTTCACTTCCACAAATATTAATTTTGCATTTAACTTTTCTCTGACTGAATTCTCCTTCCCAGGACATTTACTCTCTTCTGTTCTTTTTTTTTTTTTTCATCTGCTTGCCGCTGTTTATATGTCTATCACTTAGACCTTCTGGAAATCTTTATATCCTCGACATCAATGGATTGCACGTAACATGCGATGACCTGGACATCAAAGAATTATAAACACAACCTATGATTCTTTACTGAGTTACATAACCAAACTTGTCATAACTATCACCTTTAAAATAATTGCTTTTAACTCTCTTGTTATTTAAAAAACTAAACAATCATGCAATATTCACTAACAAAATAAATAAATTAATAATACCTACACTAAACAGTATTTTATATCTGACACTCTCTAGTTTGTAAATGTGTTTTCTCCGCATAGTTATCAAGAATGTTATCATTGTACTTATGGTATGCAGGCATACTGTGTGTTTCCTGCACATTATTTAATGTAGAAAATAATATTTATCTGTATATTGTGTGCGTAGTCTTAATATAGAACATTGGTCAAGTGGTGGAACAAGCAGCTTAGGAGTCCCAGGGCAAAGAAATAATCTGGGCCCCTTTTTTCAGAAGATAAGACCAGACCAGGCCCCAGGCATTGTGGGCCTCATGGTGTTGCAACATGTGCCCTGCATTAGTTCCACCTCTAAAGGGGACCACTTAATGTTTCTTGTCTTGGTTACATGCTGTACAATGGGCTATTTTCATAGTTACCAACATTTGCTCATTGGTCGTGAAATTGTATAAATCAAGCATCTAGGAATTTTCTTGTGCACACACATACCAGTTTTGGTCAGATTAGCAGCCTTCTATAACACATGTGGCTGTTTGACCAATAGAATCCAGGTCAAATGCAGCATCACTTTGATCTAATTGCACCATTTTGTCAAGTACTAAACTGTTGTTGCACAAGATACAAGTGTCAATATTAAGAATATTGCTGACTGTATTAAGGTATAAGTAACAACTGTTTTCAAAAAAGTAAAAATCTAGATTGGGTCGCTTTTGAACCTGTGCTGATGTGTACAAGTTGCATCAGGGTGCTGCTTATAATTGACAGTACTAATGTTTTGTAATGAAAACTATTTTGAAGAAGTGACATCTAAGATCAGGCATGATTCGAAATTGCTACTCCACATGGTGGTATAGCATACAACACAGGGACAAGTGTGTGTTACAAAGTAGTATGTTACATTAGATTTGACTGTGAAATAGGTGCTTAACAGTTATTTTAATGATAGTCACAAGCAGCTTCTGAAACTGTCATATTCTAAAAGTATTAGATGAGAAATCCTTCTGCTCAATTTGTTTTCTGTGCAAGTACTGTACTATATGATAAATGTAAATAAAGTATTAATTAAAGAGCCCTTAGGATTTTGAGAGAGATAATTTTAATTTAGTGTGGTATTAAATGTACCATGATTTCTTTCTATTTTAGCTTAATAAGTGGACAATTTAGTTAATCAAAATTGTTTACACTTAAATATGTCTAGCATGCATGTAGATTGAAATGTTTAAAGAAACCAGTTCTGAGCTGTAACGACATTACTGTTTGTGTTAGTTATAAATTGTCAAGGGGGATTATCTGTGGTATTTCTATACTCTCCCAAGGAAGGTGTCACTGGAAAATTATTTTGATCTGTGTTTTCTATTAACAATGGTTGAATACACATTTAGAAATAACTGGAAGTTACATACTCCATATATCTACTTGTGGGATGATAACGTAATTTGGGAAACACATGCACTATAAAAGCATTGATCTTTTTTGTAAAGATATTTAGTGGTTAGTTTTTTCCTTTATAGCTGAATTTTATAAAATCTTAACATGTTCTAATGGCGAGAATACTTTCAATATAAAAAGTGTAATGCTGTCACAGTGCCCTATGCGTTTGTTACCTGTCTGAGTTATATGGTTATCTTGTCCATACAGACAAATATAGTTCTATTTTGAACAATCTCTCTTCTAAAACACAGTCAGGTCAGAAATATAGATTACCTCATGAAACTAATTATTGCAGTTACTTTTTGCAGCTGAAGGTTATCAATGTACTTGTGGTATGTAGGCACACTGTATGTTTCCTACCCCTTATTTGATGTAGAAAATTGCATTTATCTATATATTGTATATGTAATTTAATATAGTATATTGGTCAAGGGAACCATTTAATCTTTCTTGTCTTAGTTAAATACTCAGTTGGATTACTTAACCTGTACTGTCTTGTAGGAAATATTCCTGCAAATTGGAGCACTGTATGAAAATACAGTGATGTTTTCTACTGACATGTGAAGTGATTCCTCAACGATACAACAAGCCTTATTTTGTAGTGAGCATGACCATCCGTCATGTGGATAGCCCTTTGCCTAGAGAAGAATGGCATTTTTATTTTTCGTATATATGTTGCCTTGTTTTCTCAGGTTGGAACAAAATTTAAAACTGAGATGTTATAAAATTTAATTAAAAATAGATACAGCTTTTAACAGAGATAGATAATACAGATTTTAACAGAAATAGATAATACAGATTTTAACAGATTTAGAGAACCTTTTGTAACAGGCGCCACATGAAACACGTATCTTAAAACTTCCATTGTTGCTTTATTGAAATAAAGAATTTTTCACTAAGTTGTGTATTGTGTCCAGTCTCGTTATTTTATTTCAACCAAATGGAGTTTGAGGAATTAATATCTTACACAGCAAAACAAATTCCATTGAATCTACTGTTATCCTATGGTTCCTTCCCAATTACTCACAGGGAAACCAGTGAGCCTAAGAAAACTATAAAGCAAGTAGGGAGGAGAAAATTTGGCTCCTGATTACAGGATTTGTTTCTGTGGAGTGTCTGTTTTTCTCCTGATGAGTGTATTTGCCTGTATTCTTCTGAACTCTTACATTATTAAGTTGAAGCTTTGTATTTGAGGAAATCGCATTTTTCATGGATCAAAGGACTTAACCAGGAGAAAAAGCTAAACACTAAGGGCATAAGGATATCAAAGTTTAGTTTAGTTTGTAGTTATGCACAAAGCCACACAATGGGCTATCTGTGCTCTGCCCACCCCAAGTATCAAAACCCGGTTTCTAGCACTGTAAGTCCTCAGAGGATATCAAAGAGAGTTGTCGGTCTAGGGGAAGTCCGCTTCCGGATGTTCAACACTTCCCGATTTTGCAAAGGTCCTTGACAGGAAGGAGAAATGTCAGAATCTGGTATACCTACAATGGCTGATTATGCTCTTCCCTAAGGTTTAAACTCAATCCACAGGAGATATAGATGAGTGAGGATCATCATGTTGGTGCTTCACCTGATGAATCTGAGACTAGACAGAGTAGTCTCCACAGGACACTAAGGGATTTGCCAACCATAGTCTGTTTCATCAGTGGTGAGAACAGAATGGTGAAGGTGGAGATCCATGGGGCAGTAGTGAGCCTCTGTGTGATAGAATGTATACTGCCAGGGCATCCAAATGCTACGGTGAAGCCTGGGTTCTTGCAGAGCCAAAGGAGTAACTACTTCTGGTAACTCACCATTCTGTAACCCAAGGGCAGTGATATAAATTCTTCTGCACCAACCCACTCCATCACACCTCAAAGTTTAGGACATCTCTGCCGAGTGTTGACCAAGAGTTTGTGTTTGAGAGACTTATGCAAAACCCACAGGTAACTGTGATAGAGACAAAATTATCACAACCCCTATGTTTAAGGGTGTGGCAAAAGAGGGCCCGGACCATTTCAGGTAAGCCATTGACTGGAATATCTGGACTTAGGAACAGACAATGCAATACCAGGTTCGGAGTTTAGGTGATCCATCCCTTGTCATCATTGCACTAATAGATTTGCTAGCCAATCAAATTCTGAGGACTGGGTGGAACTTGATATCTACCCATAAAGATACAAGGATGAGAGATATATTTCGTGGTTTATTCTGGAGCTCTGAGAACACTGGTTTGTCTCACTACTCTGTTCAGTTAACACTGACTTAATTCTGGTGAATGGTGATATAATATATGTTAACTGAAGAGGACTTTCTCTGACTACATCTAGGTCATGCAAACCACTGAATGAAG